CCTGTCGAATTGCGAGTCACACTTCGACTACACCTGCAGTCTCTTGTTAACTGTAAAAGAAGCTCCTGCCGTTTCGTAGCTTCATAGGAAATTCAGGTCTTCTCAAGAGGCGTGGCAGTGATCCGGGGACCTGCAAAATGCGCCCACCAAGCCGAACAGCGCCTAATTTCAGTAGTTTACATTAAAACAATGATTATTTGTGAATCTTGACCCGATGAGTTTTTTTCCATAGGAGAGGGGGATTTTTTTCAAGAGTAGCTTACAAATAGAGTACTCAAAGAGTCACGTATCCTAACTGTTTGAGTCAATTACTTGTTCTTCGCTCTCCTCTATTTTCGCATATTTTTTCGGTTTCATACTTTTTTTGTTAAAAGCGATATTTCAGATGATGATGGCAATGTCTCGATGAAGGAGAAGATCATGCATTATGTATCTCTACCATGGAAACTTCTTTTCGCTTTGATACCGCCCACTGACTATTATAACGGTCAGTCAGCTTCAGAATCAAAGGACGTCGTACGTTCGTCCAGCTAGCGGGGTCGTATTTGGTCGTGGAGATAGGGGGTCGTATTTGCTTTCGCAGAAGTGTTTTCAATTGTCGCCTTTTATTTTTCCGCTTCACTAACACTATGAAGCAGCCGCTCCACGGTAGTAGGTCAGGGCACATCGTTGTTGGGGATTCCCCAACAGAGGGGAGGTCGTATTTGGTCGATGAAAGAGGGGGTCGTTTGAGCTGAGAAAAATTTATTTTGATAGTTGATTTCTCTGGTTTCACGGACGTTGTAAAGGGGAGGTCGTATTTGGTCGTTGCTGGAAAGGGGGTCGTATTTCCCTTCTGACCTTCTGAAGAAGGTTGCCTGACTTTTCGCGATTTTTCCTGTTTCATGTGCACTATTTATCACCCCCTTTCCCGTCGCTCGACAGCAAGCTGCAAGCGACTCGCCAAGGCAGCCGTTGCTAAGGCCAAGAATACGGAAATGGACGCCCTGTACGACAAGCTGGAAGGCCGAGAAGGGGACAAGTTCGTCTTCCGCCTGGCTAAAGCTCGGCATCGCGCAGCTCAGGACATCAGGGTCGTAAAGACTGTGAAGAGCAGCAACGGGGCCATTCTCAGGAAACCAGCCGAAGTCAGGAAGAGGTGGGAAGAATACTTCGAGGGACTCCTGAACGAAGAATTCCCCCGCAAGGACAGCCCACAGATAGAGGCGACGGCAGGTCCCATCACGCCCTGGACGAAGGATGAAGTCCGCCGGGAGCTAGGGAGAATGAAAGTTGGGAAAGCAGTGGGTCCAGACGGGGTACCCGACACTCCCGCGAGGCGATGGAAGGCCCTTGGCGCGAGCCATGCCGGGTAGTTGCGGCTCACCCACTTCCTAAACCAAGGTGACAGCTGAAGGAAGGATGCCTGCATTGTGTGGAGCGAGCAGCACAATCGTTCCCATCTTCAAAACAGAAAGGGGACGCGACGGAGTGCTCCAACTACCGCGGGATCAAGCTGACTCCCCATACCATGAAGCTGTACGAGCGCCTGGTCAACACTAGGCTGAGGGAACTTGTCCCTATCTCGCAGGAACAGTTCGGCTTCATGCCCGAGAGGTCCACCACCGATGCCATCTTCATCGCCAGACAGCTGATGGAGAAGTACCGAGAGAAGCGGCGACCCTGCTACCTAGCCTTCCTGGACCTTGAGAAGGCATTCGACGCTACCTAGCCTGCTAATCTGTTGAGAGCGCTCTTAGAGAACGTAACGTTCCGGAACACCTCATCTCCATAGTGAAGGACATGTACGATGGGGCTAAAGCAGCTGTACGCACCCCTCACGGCTTGACGAAGGAGGTAAAAATCACGGTTGGGGTACACAAGGATCAGCCCTCAGCCCGTTCCTCTTCCTCCTGACTCTGGATGTCATGGCAAAAGAACTCATGGAGGGACCACTGAAAACCATCCTCTACGCTGACGACATCGCCCTGATAGCGGACAGCAGGGAGGAACTCCAGGACAAGGTGCAGCGGTGGCAGGATGTGCTCGCTGAGAATGGACTCCGGCTGAACGTAAAGAAGACCAAGTTCCTAAGCTCCGAAGAATGCGCCGAACTCATCGCGTCGACCGCCATGGCGAGAGCATCGAAAGGTCGAGGACTTCCAGTACCTGGGGAGCAACCTAGCAGCTGATGGCAGCGTGGACCAGGCGGTGAAGGCCCGAATCAACGCAGCCTGGATGAAATGGAGGGAGTCCACTGGCATCCTGTGCGACCGGCGGTGCTCGAGAACGCTCAAGGGCAAGGTGTACCGGGCGGTGGTAAGGCCTACAATGCTCTACGGCAGTGAGTGCTGGCCTATCTGCAAGAACCATGAAAGGCAGCTCCACTCAGCTGAAATGAGGATGCTGAGATGGGCCTGCGGCTGGACACGACTCGACAGAGTCAGAAACGAGGACGTCAGGGCGGTCACACAGACGGCTCCGATCCAGCTGAAGGCACGAGAGCAGCGACTGCGATGGTATGGGCACGTGCTGAGGAGGCCTGAAGACCACCCAATAAGGAAGGCATTGGAACTCGAGGTAGAGGGCAAGCGACCACGAGGAGCCCCAAGAAAAGATGGAGGGACGTCATCAAGAGGGACCTCACTGAAGTGAAAGCCACAGCAGAAGATGCAGTGGATCGGAACAAGTGGCGACGTCTAACAAGATCAGCGGACCCTGCGACGGCGCGGGACTAACGCTAGGGAGAAGAAGAAGAAGAAGAGTAAGAAAATGCTCCGTATATTGTGTCGTTATAGTTATCACGGCTATCACAATTTATATCACCTTTATTATGGTAGACAAAACAGCAGCGACCGGCCAAGATACGGCGCTTTTTTAGATGCCGCACCAGCCACCGGGTAAAAAAAATTGTTACAGAACATTGCGACGGCCAGATCGACCGGCACGTCAGGGGAAGCGAACCATACGTTAGTGCGTGCGTACGTGAGTCCGCCTCACTACCGACTGCGCCGTCAACTGCTCTACCGATGATCTGGCCCTTTCTATGACAATCTACGCACGTCGATGCTGCATCATGCTTTCAGCAGCCTGAGCCCTCTCACTCCCAACATCGCTTTGAATTAGTCAAATCGCTCGCAACAAAATAAAAAGCGATGTTGAGAATTGCTAGTTTCCCTCGAGTAATTGAAAAAATTTCAAAGAAGTATTCCAAGAATATCTTCCTGAGAACCAAAAGTGAACAGTAACCCTGAAACAAAAAAGAAAATGAACTGGAGGGGAGAATGCGTCACAAAAACGCGGGAGCTGAGACCTTATATAAATGGCTTTCCAAGAGTGACCCTAAATGGGGAACAATCCGAAGAGGTCCTACTGCCGGCCTGCTGGCCTCGAAAATCGGA